GCGGGGGAAGGGGAAGGGTGGGGGTGCGGGGGGGGGGCGGGCCGGGAGGGCTCTGGCTGCCGGCGCTGCCTCCACGCCCAGCTCCGCACTTTGAACCCGGGAGCCGGCCCAGCCTGTGGCGCCCAGCCCGGGCGTGTGGGAAGCACCCGGCACCCAGCCAGGACAGCCAGAACAGCCGCCTGCCCCGCGCCCCACAGCCGGCGGGACTGATGGCCCGGCAGCAGCCATCTTGGGGGTCACGGGCCCCCCAACAACTGCGGCAGGGGCCTGGCCTGATAGCAGCCGGCTGCACCACGGATGCCGTGCAGGGGCAGGGGCAGGGGGTGCCCTCGGAGGCAGTTCTGCAGTGAGCATAGGGCTTCGTGCACCAGCACCTCCCCTGGCCCCCCCAGCCCAGCCCAGGGTCTGCTCTCCCAGTCCCGCCAGACCCCCGGCTCCATCCCATGCAGCCCGCTCCGGTCCCGGCACACGCTCCCTGCCCTGCAGCAAGGAAGCTGGGGACAGCGAGGCCAGGACAGCGGGCTGCCATCAAAACCAGAGCCTGTGGTGGGACGGGGAAGCAGGCTGGGGCCGACCCCCCCGGGCCCCACACAGGAGGCCGAGCAGGGCGCCGGCAGCCAGAGTGCAGGGGAGGGCCAAGGAACCGGCACCGTGCCGCAGCCCTTCGGGGAGGCACCAGCCACCTACAGAGCGGAGGCCCCGGGGCCAGGACAGGGGCAGGACCCCCAGGCAGGAGCATCGTGGGAGGAGGCAGCGGGTCCTCAAAACGAAATCCTGTGTCGCAAACGTGAGCTCGCCTGGCGCAAAGACCGACAGGCAGCATGGCACGAGGTTGCGTCACGAGCAGCACCAACCACGGCCAAGGCCCCGTGCAGGATGGGGCTCCCACCGGCCCCAACACCACCGTCGCCCCAGGGACGGGGGCACTGGCAGCACCAGCCTTTAAAAGGGAGAGGAAAGCTCAGCCTGGCGGCTGCGGCAGCACCAACGGTGCACCCACAGACAGTGCGGCACAGCAGTGCTGCTGGGGAGCCAGCGGGGATATTTATAGGGCCCCACGCCCCAGCACCCTGCCACCGCTCCTGCACACTGTGGCACAGGGTAGGCACGGGCACAGACCGCCGTGCTGCCCTGGGAGCCGGCTGCCTGCACCCACCACCGCTGCCGGTGTCCCTGGGGAGCCTGGGGCAGGGGCTGGGCCCAGAGAAGCCGTCGTGGCCCCGCAGTGCCCGTCCCAGAGCCCTGCACCCGTGCGGACCCCCGCCAGCCCCCTCAGCAGCGTGTGGCAAGAG